GGGCAGCACAGTGGCTAAATGGTTAGCACTTCCGCCTGGCAGTACTAGGGTCGTTGGTTCTAATCCCAGCCACGGCACCATCTGCCTGGAGTTTGCATGTTCTCCCTGTGCCTGCATGGGTTTCCTACGGGTACTCCAGTTTCCTCCCACACTCCAAAGACATGCTGGTAGCTTAATGGCTTAATGGACTCCTGTCTAAATTGGCCCTAGTATGTGTATGTATGAATGTAAGTTGGGGACCTTAGATGGTACGCCCCTCGAGGGTTGGGGACCTTAGATGGTACGCCCCTCGAGGGTTGGGGACCTTAGATGGTACGCCCCTCGAGGGTTGGGGACCTTAGATGGTACGCCCCTCGAGGGTTGGGGACCTTAGATGGTACGCCCCTCGAGGGTTGGGGACCTTAGATGGTACGCCCCTCGAGGGTTGGGGACCTTAGATGGTACGCCCTCGAGGGTTGGGGACCTTAGATGGTACGCCCCTCGAGGGTTGGGGACCTTAGATGGTACGCCCCTCGAGGGTTGGGGACCTTAGATTGTACGCCCCTTGAGGGTTAGGGACCTTAGATTGTACGCCCCTTGAGGGTTGGGGACTGATGTGAATGTACAATATATATGTAAAGCGCTGCGTAAATTGACAGCGCTATATAAGTACCTGAAATAAAGGCTCAAGGTTTTTTACCTTCATGTATTCTATGAAGGTAAAAAACCCTGTGTGTGTAGCAGCGCCCACAGCTCCCCCACATCTCGATCTAGCGCCAAGAACGAGGAGAGATCTCCTTCCTCATTGGCTGAGACAGCAGCCAGTAAGCAAATAAGGAGAGAACGGGGGCGGGACCAAGCCATACTGTGTGTGAATGGACAGCAGTGGCTCGGGAGCAAGCCTGCCTGGGTGCCCCCATAGTAACCTGCTTGCTGTGGGGGCACTGGGCAGGAGCGAGGGGCCTTGAGTGCTGGCAGGGGCTGCTCTGTGCAAAACCACTGCACAGAGCAGGCAAGTATGACATTTATAGAAGAAAAAAAAAAAAAAAACTGCCTTCAATATCACATTAAGCACTTTCTCCAGTAATGGCTGCACATCATTGCTCTGAACCAGCTTCCAGATTGTGGCCGGAAAGTCACTTGTGTCCACCAGAGGAGCATATTTAACAGCATAACTGCACAAGAAAGTCAACTGACATGCCCAAACCTACTGACGGCAATTATATTCGAACATTTCAACACACCGCATATGAGACCCATTAGAAGATGTGATTCACTCTCAAGCTACAAAGCAAACCTCAAGTGACGGCGAGGCCCGCTGAAGCCCAGCAGCAGCTTTTGGCTGGTCCTACCGTTATTACAAGTGGTTAGGACATGTCTGCTTTCCCAGCCTCGGCCAACATGACAGACTAACAGTTGTGCTTCCACAACGATCAGAGATAAGGGCAGCCGCGCAGCATAATCCAGGATGACTCTGCTCAATACATGTTATTCTAACACGCTGCACATACACCATAGTGAGCTGTCAGCCTGGGTGCACACGCTGCAAGGAAGAGGTCAGACAGAGAGCAGCGCCGGGGACTCGGCTACATTGTGCATTCCTGGGAATCCAGCAGGGCCTTTACATACACAAAACACAGTCGGCCAGGGACGAAACGTGACCTTCTGTATAGTAGACGGGGTTATAGTCCTCTGGAAGCAAAGCTGTGGAAGGATTACAGGAGCAGAGAGGAGGCACGCCGACAATACATTCACTGATAGGGTGCTAAAAGAGAACCTGTCAATGCTCAAGTGAGCCAGTGTTTGTTAAGTAACAGATTCACTGGCAGGCACAGCAAGGACGTTCTAGCAGGAAGAAGCCTGCAGTGTGTCAGAAGCTACCACTGCTCCACTGACTAGGCCTATCCTCCCCATTAGCCCTGTACTGCTAGCAAAGGTTCCATCAAGACCAGATGGTACCTGGAGGCCTATCCCCCATTATCCCTGTACTGCTAGCTAAGGTTCCATCAAGACCCAGGTGGTACCTGGAGGCCCATCCCCCATTAGGCCTGTACTGCTAGCAAAGGTTCCATCAGGACCCAGGTGGTACCTTGGAAGCCTGTCCCCCATTAGGCCCTGTACTGCTAGCAAAGGTTCCATCAAGACCCAGTTGGTACCTGGAGGCCTATCCCCCATTAGCCCTGTACTGCTAGCAAAGATTCCATCAGGACCCAGGTGGTACCTGGAGGCCTATCCCCCATTAGCCCTGTACTGCTAGCAAAGATTCCATCAGGACCCAGGTGGTACCTGGAGGCCTATCCCCCATTAGCCCTGTACCCAGTTAGGTCTGTACTGCTAGCAAAGGTTCCATCAGGACCCAGGTGGTACCTGGAGGCCTATCCCCCCCATTAGCCCTGTATTGCTAGCAAAGGTTCCATCAGGACCCAGGTGGTACCTGGAGGCCTATCCCCCCATTAGCCCTGTATTGCTAGCAAAGGTTCCATCAAGACCCAGATGGTACCTGGAGGGCCTATCCCCCATTAGGTCTGTACTGCTAGCAAAGGTTCCATCAAGACCCAGGTGGTACCTGGAAGCCTGTCACCCATTAAGCCTGTACCCCATTAGCCCTGTACTGCTAGCAAAGGTTCCATCAAGACCCAGGTGGTACCTGGAGGCCTATCCCCCCATTAGCCCTGTACCCCCATTAGGCCTGTACTGCTAGCAAAGGCTCCATCAAGACCCAGGTGGTACCTGGAGGCCTATCCCCCATTAGCCCTATACTGCTAGCAAAGGTTCCATCAGGACCCAGGTGGTACCTGGAGGCCTGTCCCCCCATTATCCCTGTACCCCATTAGGCCTGTACTGCTAGCAAAGGTTCCATCAAGACCCAGGTGGTACCTGGAGGCCCATCCCCCATTAGCCCTGTACCCCATTAGGCCTGTACTGCTAGCAAAGGTTCCATCAAGACCCAGGTGGTACCTGGAGGCCTATCCCCCATTAGCCCTATACTGCTAGCAAAGGTTCCATCAGGACCCAGGTGGTACCTGGAGGGCCTGTCCCCATTAGCCCTGTACTGCAAGCAAAGGTTCCATCAAGACCCAGGTGGTACCTGGAGGCCTATCCCCCATTAGGCCTGTACTGCTAGCAAAGGTTCCATCAAGACCCAAGTGGTACCTGGAAGCCTGTCACCCATTAAGCCTGTACCCCATTAGCCCTGTACTGCTAGCAAAGGTTCCATCAAGACCCAAGTGGTACCTGGAAGCCTATCCCCCATTAGCCCTGTACTGCTAGCAAAAGTTCCATCAGGACCCTGGTGGTACCTGGAGGCCTATTCCCCCATTAGCCATGTACTGCTAGCAAAAGGTTCCATCAGGACCCAGGTGGTACCTGGAGGCCTATTCCCCATTAGCCCTGTACTGCTAGCAAAGGTTCCATCATGACCCAGGTGGTACCTGGAGGCCTATCCCCATTAGCCCTGTACTGCTAGCAAAGGTTCCATCAAGACCCAAGTGGTACCTGGAGGCCTATCTCCCATTAGCCCTGTACAGCTAGCAAAGGTTCCATCAAGACCCAGGTGGTACCTGGAGGCTTATCCCCCATTAGCCCTGTACTGCTAGCAAAGGTTCCATCAAGACCAGGTGGTACCTGGTGGCCTATCCCCCATTAGCCCTGTACTGCTAGCAAAGGTTCCATCAAGACCAGGTGGTACCTGGAGGCCTATCCCCCATTAGCCTTGTACTGCTAGCAAACGTTCCATCAAGACCCAGATGGCACCTAAAGCAGCCAAGTGCTTGGTGCTCCCCTGGGCATGTCTTGTCAGGTGTTAGTGATTTACTGAGTTGTATTGACTTCTGATGAGAGGAGCTTTAACAGCCACATACTATTCAGGCCCTCAGATCTCATAATCTTGCAATCATTGAGAAGACCACACAGACAAAGTCCGAGCAGAAGAAACAGATCAGAGAAGGTTGAGATGGAGAAAAAAAGGAAAACAAAGAAAAGAAAAAAATAAAGACTGAAAACAAGAAGCTCAGACCTCTGAAAGGTAGCCATATTCCCTCTAAGCGCGATACTTGATCATCACCGGGCCCTACCAGAGCACAAGGCCTGATATCAGACAGTCTCATGATACAGTGATACTAAATGCTATTCCACCAACACCAATGATTTGAGGGTGTGTGTTCTCCCCTGAGGACCCAAATTCCCAATGACACCAATAGTGGAGGAGCTACTCTATCCTGTAGGCCACCATCCCACTGACACCAATAAATGGAAGAGAGCTACTCTCTCCTGTAGGCCACCATCCCAACACCAATAATTGAGGCACTCTCTCCTGTAGGCCACCATCCCATTGATACCAGTTATGGAGGAGCAACTCTCTCCTGTAGGCCACTATCCCATTGACGATAATTGAGGAGCTACTCTCTCCTGTAGACCACTATCCCATTAACAATAATTGAGGAGCTACTCTCTCCTGTAGACCACTATCTCATTGACAATAATTGAGGAGCTACTCTCTCCTGTAGGCCACTATCCCACCGACACCAATAATGGAGGAGCCACTCTCTCCTGTAGACCACTATCCCATTGACAACAATAATTGAGGAGCTACTCTCTCCTGTAAACCACTATCCCATTAGCAATAATTGAGAAGCTACTCACTCCTGTAGGCCACTATCCCACCGACACCAATAATGGAGGAGCCACTCTCCCACCGACACCAATAATGGAGGAGCCACTCTCTCCTGTAGACCACTATCCCATTGACAACAATAATTGAGGAGCTACTCTCTCCTGTAGACCACTATCTCATTGACAATAATTGAGGAGCTACTCTCTCCTGTAGGCCACTATCCCACCGACACCAATAATGGAGGAGCCACTCTCTCCTGTAGACCACTATCCCATTGACAACAATAATTAAGGAGCTACTCTCTCCTGTAGGCCACTATCCCACCGACACCAATAACGGAGGAGCCAATCGCTCCTGTAGACTACTATCCCATTGACAATTGAGGAGCTACTCTCTCCTGTAGGCCCCTAATGCCAATAAATTGAGGAGCTATTCTCTCACTTTGTTTTGGCTATTGGACAGGAAGTGAAGGGAAATCTCCGCAATGAGAAACATGGCAAAAAAAAAAAAAAAAAAAAAGAGCTGGCTGGGGTTAGAACACTTCCTTGCTCTATAAGAAAATTAAATAAAAAAAAAAAAGTTTTGCTTACAGTTCTACTTTAAAGCTCTGATTGAAATGATCATAACAGGGCACATCATAATAGCATTTGAAGGGAAGGACTATGCTGTGAAGGCCAAGTGGGCCAGTTTGTGATTTGGCAGCACTGCAATCACTTCACGTCACGTACAGAAGACTAAACTTTTTAAAGTCGCGTCCCAACCGCACAACAGAACTACAGAACAATTCAAAAGCAATTTAAAACATTGAAAGATCCTATTTTTTTTGTTTTTAAGTTTAATGAGATGACATTCATGCATGGCAAATGAACACCACCAAGAACTTCGGAGGAAAGCCTCAGAAAATAGATACAATGACATTCCACGGGGGAAGAGTTTGCAATTCATTAGGCGAGCCTGACTTCTTCCAGGCCTCAAATGCTGCACCATCACAACGGGGTCTGCAAGATTGCCAGCTTTTGGTGCGCGCTCAAGGGGCGTCTGAATTATCTTGCAGAATTGGGGCTCCTGACTCACAACTGGACAGTGTGGAAGCCGGTCTTTCAGTGTTGTGCCAACATTGGCCATCTAGACTACCGCATATGTAAAAACCATTTGCTTTCGGAAAAGTAATAAGGCGCCATTCACACTTGTGCAAATTGTCATGAGACTTTTACATATGTGGGCATGGCCTACGTATGCGTTCACCACTACGTGCGAGCACAGTTAAAGTTATTTAATTTGCACTGCTGCTTTAAAAAAATGTAAGCGATGCATGCATCCCTTGTGATAGAAATAATTACTGACAGGTCCTCTTTATGGAGAGATATGGGGGTAAATAAGACCCAACATCTCTCCTCTGCAATGTAAAGCATTGGATCAAAAAAAGAAAAAAAAAATTATTTTTTTTTTAACGACCATAACCGGAAGTGACATCACTCCAGTACTGCAAGGGCATAGAGATGAGTGGAGGCCATCTTTCCTTCACTCATCTCTATGCCCAGCGCTGGGATCGTTCGGTGGTTTCTCAGGCTGAGAACTACCGAGCATTGGTGGCAGTGGTGGGCGGCGGCAAGGGGCGGGGGTTTTTTTTCAGACACCTGTAACTTTGCTTTTTTTTTTATTTCGGGATCGTTCGATGGTTTCTCAGGTAAGGCTGACAACTACCAAGCAGTGGCCGGTGGCGGCAGGCGGGGTATATTTTCGGAACCTGTATCGGTGCTTTTTTTCATATCGTCCGAAAGGGTTGTTTTCGGCCGAAACGTTTCGATCACCGAAATTTTGGTGCATCCCTAGTTTTTACTTCGTTGTTGCAGAGACCAGAGGTGACAAAAAGGTATTAAAAAAAAATTCTTGCAAAAAACAAATTGGACAAACGGAACAGATGTAAACATAGCACCCGTTAACATCTATTCGGACATACCCTTGCCAGGTTATTAAAAAAAAAAAAAAAAAAAAAAAAAAAAAAAAAAACACACACGGATGTGGATGTAATCATCCATTGGTCCTTAGAAATACACTACAGTCAGTTTTTCCATCTGTCAATGGATGGATGAAAAATGGACAGATGGCCCAAACGTGTGACAGGGGCCTTATTGTAGAAATGGAAGAAATTAAAAAAAAATTACACAACCCTGCAAAATAAATAGCGACGTTCCAGAACAGGCCAAAGAATCAAACAGACCAAGATGGTTGTTACAACCTTTCTAGTTTTCATTTGCTCCTCACAAGGTTTACTGGACGACTTTCAGGGAATTTCAGCGTTTAAATCAGGAAGGAGGCGGAGCTAGAAGGTGGACCTGATCCCAGCCTGCTTGCTATAATCTGGAAGCGTGCCATTAAACCTGCAGCTGAAGTGTACAAATGAAGTGTCCCGCCAGGCAGCACTGCCCTGTTTTACTACATTCAGAGGCCGGCCGTCTTAGTCAATGAATCCCTCAAAACAGAGCGAAGGATCCGAGGCGAGAACTTTGTACTCTGCACGCGGGTGGAAAAACCCCAGGAGTGAGGCCATCCGGGGACTGGGCGCCCCGGGCTCTTTTAGAAACATAGAAAACATAAAACAGATCCCAAGTAAATGAAAAGATTTTCCCTGGATGGCCTCAGTGATCACATATTAGTGCCATGTACTGGTCTGCCTGGTTGACATCTGTAACTCCCCGAGTAGTGAAGACAGGATGAGAACGAAAGCCCAAAGGTATTCCCATTTTGGCGAGATTTGTGCATTGGCGCAAAACACACGCAGTGCAAAGGGGAGGGGTTAATCTTTAGTTAAGCTGCCCTTAGCAGCACTCCCTCACTATTCCTTCCCATGTGCTTGAAGGTATGGGAAGCATGTGACCTCATCGACATTGGCAGCCCATTGCTAGAGCGGAGGTCCATCACCTGACTGAGGGGAGTGACTGGTCCCATCCTCCAGATACAGGCAATGCTGGGGAATTCAGTGTGTGTTGTAGCAGAGGCAGGAGTAAGGAAGCAGAGCCAGGTGAGGGCTGAACAAACACTCATGTCACCCTGCAAGAAGAAAACACTGACTGTAAAGCAGCCCATAGAGCACAGGTGTCAAACTGGCGGCCCTCCAGCTGTTGCTAAACTACAAGTCCCATGAGGCATTGCAAGATTGACAGTTACAAGCATGACTCCCAAAGGCAGAGGCATGATGGGACTTGTAGTTTTCTAACAGCTGGAAGGCCGCCAGTTTGACACCCCTGCCATAGATAATCCAATTTTCTTTTCTTCCACCACTGCTGGCCGCTATAGTCAGCATGGGGGGAGGAATTGGATAGACTGGTTGTCCTGAAGTCCAGCCCATAGATAGCTGAATCTCAGCCAGTCCCTGCTGAACTGGTCGAGATTCAATCCATCTATACCTGGCCTAAACCCTGGACCGCGCAGTCACCACGTCCGCCGTCCCCGGACCGCGCAGTCACCACGTCCGCCCTCCCCGGACCGCGCAGTCACCACGTCCGCCCTCCCCCGGACCGCGCAGTCACCACGTCCGCCCTCCCCGGACCGCGCAGTCACCACGTCCGCCCTCCCCGGACCGCGCAGTCACCACGTCCGCCCTCCCCGGACCGCGCAGTCACCACGTCCGCCCTCCCCGGACCGCGCAGTCACCACGTCCGCTGTCCCCGGACCGCGCAGTCACCACGTCCGCTGTCCCCGGACCGCGCAGTCACCACGTCCGCTGTCCCCGGACCCCGCATTCACCACGTCCGCTGTCCCCGGACCCCGCATTCACTACATCCGCTCTCCCCGGACCCTGCATTCACTATATCCGCTCTCCCCGGACCCCGCATTCACTACATCCGCTCTCCCCCGGACCCTGCATTCACTACATCCGCTCTCCCCGGACCCCGCATTCACTACATCCGCTCTCCCCGGACCCCGCATTCACTACATCCGCTCTCCCCGGACCCTGCATTCACTATATCTGGTCTCCCCGGACACCGCATTCACTATATCCGCTCTCCCCAGACCCTGCATTCACTATATCTGGTCTCCCCGGACCCTGCATTCACTATATCTGGTCTCCCCGGACCCCGCATTCACTATATCTGGTCTCCCCGGACCCTGCATTCACTATATCCGGTCTCCCCGGACCCCGCATTCACTACATCGCTCTCCCCAGACCCTGCATTCACTATATCTGGTCTCCCCGGACACCGCATTCACTATATCCGCTCTCCCCACAGACCCTGCATTCACTATATCTGGTCTCCCCGGACCCTGCATTCACTATCTCCGCTCTCCCCGGACCCTGCATTCACTATATCTGGTCTCCCCGGACCCCGCATTCATTCACTATATCTGGTCTCCCCGGACCCTGCATTCACTATATCCGGTCTCCCCGGACCCCGCATTCACTATATCCGGTCTCCCCGGACCCCGCATTCACTACGTCCGGTCTCCCCGGACCCTGCATTCACTATATCCGGTCTCCCCGGACCCCGCATTCACTACGTCCGGTCTCCCCAGACCCTGCATTCACTACATCCGCTCTCCCCGGACCCCGCATTCACTACATCCGCTCTCCCCAGACCCTGCATTCACTATATCCGGTCTCCCCGGACACCGCATTCACTAATATCCGCTCTCCCCAGACCCTGCATTCACTATATCTGGTCTCCCCGGACCCTGCATTCACTATATATCTGGTCTCCCTGGACCCCGCATTCACTATATCCGGTCTCCCCGGACCCTGCATTCACTATCTCCGCTCTCCCCGGACCCTGCATTCACTATATCTGGTCTCCCCGGACCCCGCATTCACTATATCTGGTCTCCCCGGACCCCGCATTCACTATATCCGGTCTCCCCGGACCCCGCATTCACTACGTCCGGTCTCCCCGGACCCTGCATTCACTATATCCGGTCTCCCCACTAAAACAGTGTGTTACTGGCAGGATCACCAGAGGGCAATTAAGAAATAAAAAAAAAACCCCACTTGAAAAAAAGAAAAGTAATACAGCCATCACGTCTACGGGAAAAGTGCTTTGCAATAGATTTATTTTTGTTTTTGGGTTTAGATACACACAGTTTAGGCAACAAACCAGCTGAGGCTACAAATTCTATGTGAGCTCTTCCACCCACCCATATTCCAGGAGAGCCCCCTCCCTGCAAACAGAAATCATTGTGAATAGTGGCAAACATGTGACCACCAGATGTGCAACCTCCTCAGATGTAATATGTGACCAGGACTAGGACACTGGAGGATCTGAAGACATGATGAATGATCAGGAATGACGACATCTACACAAATCAGAATGATAAGAACACAAGTAAGGCAGTTTACACGCAGCACTGCAAAGATCATGTGTTATGTCATATGTACTGTCCAGGCCTGGACTCCTATGTAGGCCTCAGGCTTCCCAATCTACATAGATAAGATGCAACTGTTTTTATTACCCTCTAATCCTCCTTTCTCCTGAGGAGACACCATGGGCTTGATTTACTAAAACTGGAAAGTGTGAAGTCTGGTGCAGCTCTGCATGGCAGCCAATCAGCTTCTAACCTCAGCTTACTCAGTTAAGTTGTTCCTAAACCTAAATAATTTGTCATGTCCGCTCTCCCCCAGACCCCGCATTCCCTACATCCGGTCTCCCCCCCGGACCCCCCGCATTCCCTACATCCGGTCTCCCCCCCGGACCACGCATTCCCTACATCCGGTCTCCCCCCCGGACCCCGCATTCCCTACGTCCGCTCTCCCCCCCGGACCCCGCATTCCCTGTATCCGGTCTCCCCCCCGGACCCCGCATTCCCTACGTCCGCTCTCCCCCCCGGACCCCGCATTCCCTGTATCCGGTCTCCCCCCCCGGACCCCGCATTCCCTACGTCCGCTCTCCCCCCCGGACCCCCGCATTCCCTACATCCGGTCTCCCCCCCCGGACCCCGCATTCCCTACGTCCGCTCTCCCCCCCGGACCCCGCATTCCCTACGTCCGCTCTCCCCCCCGGACCCCGCATTCCCTACGTCCGCTCTCCCCCCCGGACCCCGCATTCCCTACATCCGGTCTCCCCCCCGGACCACGCATTCCCTACATCCGGTCTCCCCCCCCGGACCACGCATTCCCTACATCCGGTCTCCCCCCCGGACCACGCATTCCCTACATCCGGTCTCCCCCCCGGACCCCGCATTCACTATATCCGGTCTCCCCGGACCCCGCATTCACTATATTCCGGTCTCCCCGGACCCCGCATTCACTATATCCGGTCTCCCCGGACCCCGCATTCACTATATATCCGGTCTCCCCGGACCCCGCATTCACTATATTCCAGTCTGCCCCGGACCCGGCAGTATCTCTGATATGCTCCCGCTCTCCCCGGACCCAGCGATATCCACTTTATAGCACTGTCTACCCGGCACCCCGCCCAATTCCTCTAATTAATCGCACTTACCGCTCTCTCCCGGCACCCACGCATTTCAATATAGCCAGCTCTCCCCGGACACCCCCAGCATTCAACTATACACCCCGCTCTCACCGGACCACCTGCATTTCACTGATATCCGCTCTCCCAGGAACCCCATAATCACTATCTTCCGTCGCCCCCGGACACCGCATTCACTATATCCTCTCCCCACCCGGACCCCGCATTCACTATATCCGATCTCCCCGGGACCCCGCATTCACGATAATCCGTCTCCCCCGAGCACCCCGCATTCACTATATCCGGTCTCCCCGGTACCCCGCATTCACTATAGCCCGCTCTCCCCAACCCCGACATTCACACTAGTATCAATAAAGCCAGCTTCTCCCCGGAACCCCGCATACAATCACTATATCTCGCTCTCCACCGCCCGACCCCGCATTCACTATATCCGCCTCCCCGGCACCCCAACCGCATCTTCCACTATAATCCGCACTCCCGACCCCGCATTCCACTATAGCCTTGCTCTCCCAAGACCCACGCATTCACTATTTCTCGTCTCCAACCCCCGGACCCCGCATTCACTATATCCGGTCTCACACGGTACCCACCCGCATCTCATAAATCCCTCTCCCCCGAACCCCGCATTCACTATCCAGGTCTCCCCGCACCCCGGCATTCACTATATCACGCTCTCCCCGACCCAAACCCCTGCATTCACGATAACCTGCTCCGGTCTACCCCCGGACCCTCGCTATATCACTAATATCCTCAGGCGTCTCCCCCGGACCCCGCCATATCACTAATATTCCGGTCTCACGCGGACCCTGCTTTCACTATATCTTGGTCTTTCCCGGACCCTGCACCTTCCTCCACTATATCGTTCTCTTCGCACCCGGAACCCTGCATCTCACGTTATATCTGCTCTTCCTGGACCCTGCATTCTACTATATCCCGGCTCTCACCACGGTCCCTGCAGTCAACTATATCCGATCTCCCTGGACCCATGCTTATCACCTATACTCCTGTTTCAACCCCTAGGGACCCCGCATTCACTATTATATCATGCTCTTCCTGGGACCCTGCCATTCACTATATCTGGTCTCCCCCCGGGACCCTCGCATATCACTATATCCGCTCTCCTGGACCCCTGCATTCACTATATACCGGTCTCCTCGCTGGATCTCTCCCCTGCACTTCACTATAATCTCCGCTTCTCCCTGGCGACCTGCAAATTCACTATATCCGCCTATCTCACCGTGACCCTGCATTTCACTATTATATCCTGGTTCTACAAACAACAGTCCTATCAGAAACATGGACATGCAATTATAGGTAAATATAAACCTGCTAAATACCTTATTCTCAATCTAGCAGTAATATTATATAATTTATAAAGCAGTCTTGTGACTTCTCTATCAGTGTCTTTTAGAAGCAGCACTTGGTTAATCTTGTAAGGCGAGAAGTTTTTCCATTCTGTTTTTGACTGTCCTATCGAGGCTACATGATCACCATGACCCTCGGTCCTGGACAGTGCGCGCTTGATCACATACACACAAAAGGAAAAAAAAAAAAAAAAACTAGGCAATACAAACACACTAAACTGAGCATGTGCAGTGGCGGGGGACTCCTCAGAGCTCTGTACTATAAGCATATTAGATTCGGGGACAGTAAGTTGGAATGGGGTCAAAGAACAGGTTGTCAAAAACAGCCTTATTAACACATTGCAGATGACTGCACTGACCCTTATGGTTCCCACAGTGAGGTATAACACCAGCCGACCCGGCTTATTATTTTTTTCTTTTTACCTGCAATCTACAGAACCGATTTTTATTGTTGTGGGTTTAGTTAGTTAACTACACGATAAACTGACCACAATAAAAAAATGGAAGCAAATCGGTTTCATATGCAGAGATGTTGCACCAATATTCCATGTGCCCCCCAGTTTCCTGCAAACCCCCCACCCCCCCCCCCCCCCCCATCATTAGTCCCCCACCTGATTATCACACATTGGATGGAGGTGCCGGCTCACAGCCAATCATTGATACATCCGGAGTACTCTACACGAACAATTGGCTGTGTGTAAAGCAGAGCGAGAGGTTGTCGTCTCTCTATCAGATTCCAGGCCCCAATGGCTGGGGTCTAGCCCATTGACTGATAAGTTTAAATGAAAGGCACAAAACGTTTTTTTTTTTTTTTTATATGGGGGGGGGGGGGGGTGGGGGAGTAGGGGCGGGGGGGGGGGGGACACAGTTACAGTAAAATATAACGATTCAATCACACGAGGGGTACGTTGAGGGCCATAGCTCCTTGGTGCTTTACAATATAGGAATGTATAGCTGACTGCCATCGCTAATGGACTCCATTCATAATGTGACTTTGGTGGGAACGGCGGGTTTAAAAGCAGCAACATGTTGGAGCCGGGCATTTATCGACTCTGCCAACCTGCAACCCCTCTGTAGCTGCAGATTTTGGTAGCACAACGTGCGTTGGTCACACCGCAGTCAAAATATTGCTTTGTGGCTACATATTAATACCCAGTCTCTGAGCATGCGCTCAACTCGCATGTTGGCCTGCCTTAGGCCACGCTCAGTTACAGGTGATCATAGTGGTTTCAAAGCAGGTCGTTTTCGATACACGCCGCAATTCCCTCATCCGCTATAGTGCTCCTAACAGATAGCGATCAGGAAACACCAGACTCACTACGTCTGATGAGGCACAGCAAGTATGATCTAAAGCCAATACGCAAAGACTGCCCTATCATCTCTAAGAAGCCTTAGTCACACCAAAGCAGGTCCACTATTTTATTATTGCTTCTTTTTTGTGCTCTTGTGTAAGTGACAGTTCTTTGTTGGCTTGCAACGGTGCCGCTCTTACCTTTAGTGCGTTTCTGCGCTCGTGTTTAGCAGCAAAACGAACTCATTTTCAATGGGCCACTCCCTGCAGAGGGAGAGGGGGGGGGAAAACACCAATAGTCACGCAAACATAACTCTCTTCTTTTTTTTTTTAAATTTGTTACGATTTGGGATTGATGAAACTAAAACCTGGGAGTGTCTGCGCAACTCTAGTTGCTTTTTGCAGCTCTGCTTCACAGCTAAACCAATCAGCATCCAGGGTTTTAATGTCATCACATGCTTAAACGGAAAAAAGAAATACAGAAAGCAGATGGGTTACCTTTAGCTCAGCGGCACAGATATCTGAATGCTCATTACAGTGTTGTGTCAATCTCTATGTATTGTGGTGGAAACGATTTTCATGAGTATCAGACTAAAGGGCATGGATAGGGTGTCACTAAAAGGGTAACCACCTACTTGACACGCGCCTGCTAAATAACTCCCAAATTTTGCTCCCGTTTACCCCCAGCAATCTCCCAAACGATGAAATCCTGGATTGTCCCTGATCGCGCAAGTTTCCACAAGAAATGAGAACACCCATAACAACACAGTGGGCGGCGGCCGGAGTCTTGGGTG